GGGTTGGGGGGCGCGGGGGGGCGTGCCCTTCCCCCCGCCGGGCGCCAGGGGGTGGGGACACTTGCGTGCCCGGGGGCAGCCCCCCCCATAGCCGCATGCCCAGGGCCAGGGCCCCCCCATAGCCGCGTGCCTGGGGGCCGGGGCGGCCACTTCGCCACGTTCCCAGGGCCGGTGCTCCGTGTGCGCCATGCTCCTGGGACCAGCTCCGGCACCGCACATGCGCTATGTGCCCGGGGCGGGGCCAGCCCCGAGCATTTGGCGGGCGCACACAAATGCCATGGCGCCCGTGGGCACCATGTTGGGGACCACTGGTTTAGAAGGTGTTGGAAACTCACAGTGCTCATTGTTAGTGCCTTTTAACAGTTTTAGGGCTTTTAATGAACGTCTGGATTGGGGTGTGACTTAGCTCTGTTCCAAGCCTTAGGTGTCTGAGACCTCCATAGCTTGTAATACAAATGGAACAGGGGCTTCCACTGGCATCAAGCACTTTTTTATTTCTTTGTGAAACTAAAAATACAGGACTCTTTAAAATTATAGAGTATTAATATTTTCCTTTAAATATGTAAAAATCAAGAAATTCTTGTTTTAGTTGCCCATGCAATCCTAATTCAGACTTGTGCCTTTTAATTCAAGTTTTAATTAGGTGATTTTATCTTCTATATTATACTATATAATACATTTGGTATATATAGGGTGGTAAAAATGTTATCTATTATGAAGAGATGTGCATTAGGCAGCACTTGATTTTCCCCAGTCCTCAGAGGTTGCAGGCCATCTGTTCTCAAATTCTTATTAATCTGCATTTAGACATTAGTTATTTTTTAGTTAGGATTTTACAAAACCTTGTTGGTGAATCATTGGCTGTAAGACAGGGTCACAATTTTTAATGTTACCAATTAAAAATTTAAAGATACACTAATTCATTATGGGTGTCATCTTGTTCTCAGTCTCTCTTATTTTTCTCCTTAGACTGGCCTGTGGGGATGTTGAAGGAAAATTTGATATATTGTTCAATAGAGTGCAAGCTGTTCAGAAGAAAAGTGGAGAATTTGATGTAAGATTTATATTTCTGCTTTTGTGTGTTAAATTAGAAGTGTTTCACTGTATAATGCCTCTCATTGGCAAGTGAAAAAATCCTGCCCTACAAATGGTAAAAAAGCCAAATGTTCATTGTGTTAGATTCTCCTAAATGTAATATGAATTAAAGCACAATAGTTTTTAGTTAGTGCTTGCAGCTTTAAAATATTGACCAAATATTAATATTCAGAACATTAAAGTTGGTACTAGGGATATTAAAATTCATTTAATTAAGTAACCATGTAAGTGCTCAGAATTTCAGTGTTTATGCATGGGGCAGCAGTCGGTTTCCCGGGAACCGGTGGGTGCTAGGAACCAGTCTTGGAGACGGCTCCCGATGCATACTCGCCCCTGCTTTTCCCCTCTGTCCCTGTGGTGGGGGGGGGGGGGGTGGGGGGGGGTGGTCCCCAGGAGCGGCTGCAGGCAAGAAGCTGGCTTTTAAGCCAGATCCCCATGCGTACTGGGAGCCTGCATGTATCCATGAATGTTAACCTATGAGTCCAGCCTAATTGGTTAACTGTGTACATCAGTGGTCTCCAGCCTTTTTAACCACAAGATCACTTTTTCAATTTAAGTGCAATGTAAAATGTACCTCAAACCCAAATCCCCTTGCCCCACTTCCTTCCCACCCCTTCTCTGAGACCCTTTTTCCAAGGCCTCACCATTCCCCTGCCTCCCCCATCCTCACTCACTTTCACCAGGCTGGGGTAGGGAGTTGGGGTGCAGGCTTGGTCTTGGGCAAAGGGGTTTGGAGTGTGGGAGGGGCTCTGGGCTTAGCCCAGAGTGGGTGATTGGGGTCCAGGAGGGGTTTCAGGGGGCAGGTTCTGGGAAGGAGTTTGGGTGCAGGGGAACTCACATCTGGAATAGGAGGTTGGGTGTAGGAGGAGGTTCAGGGCTGGGACGGGTTCAGGAAGCAGGCTCTGGCTGGGCACTGTTTTGCTCCCCCTCATCTACAGGCACTGATCCCACCGCTTCTACTGGCCACTATAGTTTATTGATCAATGGGAGCTGCAGGCAAGGACAGCCCGGGGAGACCCCCCCTTCTCTGCCTTTCTCAGGGGTTGCAGTGACATGCCAGCCACTTCCAGGACCAGCAGTTACCACAAGGATAACGACTCCAGCCACAATAGGTTAGGCATTTGAGAACTCACTAGTCAAAAAATGAAATTTAAGTGTGAGAGAAATGAAAATTATGAAATGCACAGACCAGTCAAAAACCCAAAATAATACACTTTGCAATCAGTAAATGAAGTAACCAACCCCTGTGTGTGTTGGGTCAGGAGGTGAGAGTGGAGGACAGTGTGTGTTTGTGAGAATAATAAAGACACACACACTGTGTGAGAGACACAGAGATTTTCATTGCCAAGCTCCTTTTATTTCAGGCCTGGACAAAATATAACTTGAGGGCTGAATCTGGCCTGCCAAGCCACTGGATCTTGCCCACGGACACTGTGGGGAGCTGCAGGCAAGCTTCCTGCTTGCCTTGCCCCACTTGCACACTGCTCACAAACATGGCTGCGGGGCAGTTTCACTTTAAAAACTGACCCTGGCAGGGAGGGAGGAAAGCTTTAGGAGCTGCTTCCACCCCTAGCACAATCTCATTTGCCAGCTTCTGGCCAGAAACTGGCCAGTGGGAGCTTCCTGTTTCAGTAACAGGCAGTCACAAAGCACAAGGGGTTCATAGTTATTTACAGAGCACATGTGCAGGTGCGGGGCAGGCAGGAAGGCTCATTCAGGAGTAGGTTGTTGGCTGGTAAGTCTCCTGGCCAGAGCCTACCTCTGGCACCTCAACCCCTCCTTTCCCTAACCCTCTGCCCTCCACTCCTGCCTCCTTCTCCAAATACCCAAATCCTCTGCCCCCCTCCTGCACCCGTACCCCCTCCCAGGTCCGGCACTCCAATCCCCAGCCCCAGATCACAGTCCCCTCCTGCCTTAGCTCACAACCCAAACCCCTGCATCTCCTCCTGTACCCCAATTCCCTGCCCTGGGTCACAATCCAACCCCTTGCACCCCAGTCCAGTGCCCCAGGTCACAACTGTCTCCTTCACCCAAACTCCTTCCTTAACCCAAGCTCCTGTGTGCACCTAACCTCCATCCCAGACTCTGAACTTCCTCCACTAATATGGAAGAGTGCAGCCCTTGACCACTTGCTCAATTCTTGCAGTGGCCCAGTGTATAAAATTTTTGCCCACCCCTGTTCTATCACCTTCTCTGTGTGTGGAGATAAGGTACAGAAGTGGGGGGAGGAGGGACACCCTAACATCAGTGCCCTCCTCTTCTGCCTCCCATACTTTGCACAGTAAGCAGGAGGCTCCCGGGAAGGGGCAGCATGACAGTGAGTGGAGGGGCAACTGAAGTGCCAGTGCTTGATAGCTTCCTGGCCAAACCAGTCAGGATCCCCTGTCTGGCTCCAAGATCTACTGGTAGATCCCGATCTACTGGTTGGTGAGCACAAGTGTACATGGTTACACTTTCACATCCCTAGTTGATACTACAGATAAGTTGTCTTATTCTCATATTTACAGGTGGGAAACTGAAGCAAAGGGGTGCAGTGACTTGTTCAAGGCCTCTCACTGAGGGTATGTGTAGTGGGATGTAAAATCCCAGTTAATCAGTTAACTGATTAAACATTAGGTTAATCTAAAAGCAGGATCTGGGCTGGAGACCGTTCCAGCCCAGCTGGAGCTGACAGCCCAAAGGACTCTGCCCCCAGCCCTCACACTGGGACTGCTGCTGGCTCCCAGCCCTCCCTAACCCATACCTTGGAGCAGCTCTTACCCACAGTGGGGCTGGGCTCCTCACAGACAGAGGCTGCTCCAGATGCTAGAGCAGCCCCTGCCTGCGGCTATTGAGAATCTCTGCGGACAGATGCTGCTCCATGGGTGCAGGCCCTGCCTCTGGGGCCAGATCAGCCTCTTTTCATAGGGAGCCCGGGCCCGCTATGAACAGGAGCTGCTCTGGACTAGAACAGCCCTTTTCCACGGTGAGCCCCCTGCGAGGCGAGAGCAACTCCTGTCCGCTGGGAGGTGAGAGTAGCTCCTATCCTCTGTGAGGCTAGAGCAGCCCTCTGCCTGCAGCAGGCAGGAAGCTGCTCCAAACCTCTACCCAGTTACCAACATAACCCCATAGCATAGAAATATTCTCTGCTAATGAACGGGTATTTCCATTGTTGTAAGAAAACTACCTCTCCAAGCCACTTGTATGCTGGGGATTAGATTGTCATAGCGATGGCACTCAGGGTAGTGGTGGTGGCAGTGGTAGTGGATTTTTCACACACCCCGAATGACACAGCTATGCCAGCCTAATTTTAAACGCAGATCAGACCTCAGTGAGTAGCAGAGTCAGAAACAGAACCCATTAATTCTGACTTAAGCCTCCTGCTTGTTCTACATTAAACCAAGTGTAGAACTTTGTTTATTTTGCCAAAACTGATTTTTGATTTCTGACAGAAAATTAATACAAAGGTTTTGGGAAAATTATTTTTCTTAAAACTATGGGGCGGTGCCCCCTGCTTGCTATGCTCGCTAACCCCCGTCTCCAGAGGTAGGCAGCCCCGGCCACTCCCACAACCACCAGGGAGGGCCAGACCAAGGCGTGGCAACCCTGGCGTGCCCAGCTCTTCCTCCTCCGGCCATCGGATGGAAGGGTGGACCTAGGTTGTTGGGTTTTGGGAAAATTATTTTTCTTAAAACTATGGGGCGGTGCCCCCTGCTTGCTATGCTCGCTAACCCCCGTCTCCAGAGGTAGGCAGCCCCGGCCACTCCCACAACCACCAGGGAGGGCCAGACCAAGGCGTGGCAACCCTGGCGTGCCCAGCTCTTCCTCCTCCGGCCATCGGATGGAAGGGTGGACCTAGGTTGTTGGGCTCTCCTGAGGCTGGCCCAGTTCCCTCCCTCTGGCTGCTGGGGGAGGTGGGAGTTGGGCCAGACTGTGTCCGAGGCTAGGCCAGGCCTCTCCCTCTGGCAGGGAGGGGGAAGGCCAGGCCTGGCCTCTCCCTCTGGCAGGGAGGGGGAAGGGTGTGTGGCCCCTAGCCCTTTTCCTCCAGCCGTGAAGGGGGAGGCCATGTGGCTCTGGTCCCCTGCCGGCAAGGGGCAAGGCTGTACGACTCCTGCGTGCCTCTCAGACCACTGGGGATGCTGCCCATGTTATGTGCACTCACCTACCTGAGCCCCTGTGAGGCTCTTTGGCTCACATGCGCATGCTCCCCCCCCCGCCCCGAGCTCCTGCAGGCCCCTTCTACCCCCTCCTGAGCCCTAGAGAGGTTGCATGGCTCACCCAAACTCCTGCATCCCTCCTCCCTGCCAAATGCCTGCCACTCCCCCTCCTCCACCCTGTACAATGGAGGAGCCACGCGGCTCAATTTTAACTCCATCAGATGCCTGCCCACATTGTGGCTGCTGGAGGGACATCTCAGAGGGTGGAGCTAGTGGCAAGGCCTGTTGGGGGAGGTAGAGGGCCCCACTGCAGAGACCCAATGCAGGGTGGGTAGAGGGCTAGACTGGGGGAGGCACCCTGGCATGAGCCAGGGCTGTATGTCCCTCCAGCAGCTGCCACGAGTGGACGGCTGCCGGAGGGGCACCCAGCCATGGCTTGGGCAGGGGTGATTGCCACTCCACCCCCCACACACTGGGCCTCTGTTGCTATCCCCCTCCAGAAATTGTAACTCCCAGAATCCTGCCATGTGGCAGCTGCTAGAGGCACGTGGAGCCCTGGCCCCAGCCTCAGCCCAGAGGCTGTGTTGCATCCCAGCTCGGCTCGGGCCAGCGTGTCCCCCATCTGGCAACCCCTCCACCCCTCCCTGCAGAGGCCTCTCTGGTGGCCCCCTGCCTCCCTATCTCGGGCCTCGCCACCATTCTCCCTGCCACTGGAGCTTTTTTAGCCCCCCCGCCTACAGTGGGCCTCTCTGCTGGCCCTCCGCCTCCCCCCCCCCCCCTCCTCAGAAGCTGCTCAGCAGCACCTTAGCTTCAGTGCTGGTCGCGAGTCATGGATTGCTGATCCCTGCTGGGTTAGCAGCAGGGAGGAAGGGAAGAGGTGGGGCAGCTGCGGGGGAGGGATTGTGGGATGTAGAGTGACATGATGATGTCACTGTCATTCCGCAGGAAAAACTTTTTAAAATAATATAGATAGATGTGGACATTTCCAAGTTCTTAAAATCTCTTAATTAAAGAGGGTGGAAGCAAACGTGGCTTAACTTATACAGTATTTTCCAGTAATATATGTTGTTCTTAAAAAAAGTGAGCTGTGTGACAAGAATTGTTACCTGCAGCATTGTTGTAACTGTCTTGGTCCCAGCATGTTAAGAACATAAGAACAGCCGTACTGGGTCAGACCAAAGGTCCATCTAGCCCAGTAGCCTGTCTGCCGACAGTGGCCAGCACCAGGTGCCCCAGAGAGGGTGGACCGAAGACAATGATCAAGCAATTTGTCTCCTGCCATCCTTCTCCAGCCTCTGACAGACAGAGGCCAGGGACACCATTTCTATCCCCTGACTAATAGCCTTTATGGACCTAACCTCCATGAAATTATCTAGCTTCCCTTTAAACTCTGTTATAGTCCTACCCTTCACAGCCTCCTCTGGCAAGGAGTTCCACAGGTTGACTATGCGCTGTGTGAAGAACTTTCTTTTTTTAGTTTTAAACCTGCTACCCATTAATTTTATTTGGTGACCTCTAGTTCTTCTATTATGGGGACTAATAAATAACTTTTCTTTATTCGCCCTCTCCAGACCACTCATGATTTTACATACCTCTATCATATCTCCCCTCGGTCTCCTCTTTTCTAAACTGAAAAGTCCCAGTCGTTTTAACCTCTCTTCATATTAGAGAGACAAGGTGGGTGAGATAATATCTTTTGTTAGACCAGCTTCTGTTGGTGACAAAAACAAGCTTTCAAGCTTGCACAGACCACTTTTTCAGGTCTGGGAAACTTCGTGTCACGTTATTGGATTTTAAGGTGAGCAGGCAGATCATTGTTGCACCCGCTAGTGTGTGTTTGTGCCAAATTCTGTATGAAGTGGGCCAAGTGAGGTGTCAGATGAAAGTTTATGCAATGCTGATTCTATGTACGCTACTCATATACTGGTATGATATTTTTATGTACAGTTATGGATATGGGCTCTGTACTTGTATTGAAATGTCCTCTGTTTGGGAGTAAGCAATGGACCTCCACCACCTATTTTGAGGAATGGTTATCCAATGAATAGCTATGCTAATTAGTGATGCTGCATAGACTAAGGCTCTCAAGGTTGCCAATATACACCTGAGTAATGTGTCTGGAAACTGCAAACCATCATGGCTACTTGCGTGAAAGACACAGACAGGTCACTTGATCATGTGACCAGGTCCAGTTTGGGAGGCACCAGGAACATAAAACCCTAACAGTCCCATTCTCAACCCTTTTCTTTCTTTTTTAATAAACCTTTAGATTTTAGATTCTAAAGTATTGGCCCAGCGTGCTCTTTTGGATAAGATCTGAGAAATAAATTGACCTGGGACACTGGTTGGTCCTTTGGGACTGGGAGAACCTGTTCAGACATGGTGAGATTGGGTTTTATAACCTCTCATCTGTGTAAGGTCTGGGTCTGATTGTGGCACAGGGAATGCTGGGGTGTTGTAGGGGTTTTGGCTTGTGAGGCTTCTTGCTGGCCAGAGGGGCAGCTGAAGTGCTCTGTGTGACTGGTCTGGTGCCTTTACAGGGAAGGACATCAGTCGTGGGCTGTAAGTTGCCCTGATTCTGAGCAATTCGCCCTGATCCGACACTCTCAGCAGTGCCCAGACTGACCTGTTATGTTATACTTAGGCCTTCACTGCATATCTTTGATATAACTATATTACTCAGGGGTTTGAAAAATCTACAGCCTTGAATAACTTAGTTATGCCAGTGTTAAACTGCCATGTAGACTGCACTATGTTGGTGGAGAGCTCCAATCTGTATAGTTGCCCCTCTCAGAGGTGCAGTTACTAAGCTAATGGGAGAACTTCACCAGAAGTTTGTAGGGTTGACCTGCCCTTATTCAAAGTGACACATCTAAGTACAAGGTGAAACAGATGGAATGGTCCCTTAAAATGTGTGTTAACTATTTATGCTAGAGAAAGTGAAACAGCCAATTAACTTCCCACCAGTCATGGGGAGGAAAGAAAGATGGGTGAAGCAGCTGAGGAGGAGGTTGTAATAAATCATAACTCTAGTATCTCTTTAGTTCATGATTTTTGGTGTCTAGTTACAAATTTAAGCATTCTGGGTTTTTTTAAGTATGTTAGTTTTCCTATGAAATGATCTGACCGATAGGTCAGATACATAGTGCTTGCTTTGTGAAAAGCAAGGTGGATAAAAATTATTTTTTTAAAAGGGATTTTTTTAATTTAAATTGGATTTTTTGATAAAATGCTTTTGGAAGAAAAAATCACTAAGATACATTATAGCTTGAATATATCACATCATGGAATAGGAATTATAAATTTTATTTCTATACTATGAGACAATATGTTCATGCACTGTTTAAGAAAAGTTTTTTGTAAATGAGTTTCAATAGTTCCTGGATGAGGGATCCAATCTTACCGGATTCCAGAGGCTTTTGTATAGCTTATTTAAATTAATCTTTTTTTATCTACCCAATGAGACACAGAGCTCCGTGTAGAAGATACCATCAGAGATGCTTAGTTTTGCAGTTTTCAAACTGTGGATTTGTGTCTCCAGAGATACCATGCTTATTAACAGCAAAACATGTTTTTAAATAAATAATATATGGAGATGAGAAATAACAGACAATTCTGTGACTGGTGCTTTTTTTGTAAGAAAAATGGTGCCAGTACTCTGGGGCAAACTTGTTGAGCAAAAAAAAAGGAGCCAAAGCACCGTGCTGAGAGCCAGAGAAAAAAACACTGCACGTCCCGAGCAGGCTTCTGTCAGGAGCCAAGCCGTCCCAGTAAAACAGGTGCCAGTATGCGTGGGGGAAATCCCATTCCTTTTCTGTGGGCTGGGAAAATAGGTGTGACAGTAAGAAAGTAATGAGGAGGGCAGCCGTGGTATTTTAACATCATAATTATTTTCCTGTTCTTACAACTGTTCTCTTGTGTTATTTTTTTTAAATGATTTTAGCTACTTTTGTGTGTTGGGAACTTCTTTGGCTCTGCTTCAGAGACCGAGTGGGAGGAATACCGGACATGTGTCAAGAAAGGTAAGGAAAGGGCTTGTATATTAGATTACTACATAATGGAGGGAGGGGCGAGGGGAATGTAGGATGTGGCTGCACTGAGCAATGTCTTCACCACACATTTCATTCCTGTATTGCTTTATTAAGTTGTTCAGTGTACAATTGCATACTGAATAGAGGGATGGCCAGAGAGGGCAAGAGTTGTAGTGGGTGTCAAAGTATTTCAGCTCTAGTGTATGGAAGCTGATGGCAATGTACTCAGCACTGCTCTGTGGTGCTACAAAAAGGATTAGGGTGTGGCTTTTGGGCATGCTGAAAATGTTTGTTTGTATGCAAAAAGCTGATGACTGTGAATTGCTATGTGAAATATTCTATTATATTCATCTAGGCCCTGCTGCTTAGCATTGGTTGGATTAATAAGTCTCTGTGCAGTGCAACTTGCAGCTATATGTGTAACTTTTCCAGCGATGTACAGTTCTGGGGTGTCTTCTCTTTGCCATTTATCTGGAGGAAGCTCATATTTGTTAATTATCAACTCATGTAGTTGGCCATATCTATTTCCTGTTGCTCCCATCTTTTCCCTTTGGCAGCTGCACCAGACAGCAGCACTGTGCTGCCTTTTAAAAATTAATGAACAAGCAATGAAAATAATTAGCGTTAGTGTTCTTTCCTATTGGCTTTCCTATCTTGAGATGTGGTTCATTGTGATAGTTGTCTTGCACAGGTTTTCATCATGGGCAGGAGTGCATAATAAAAGGCCAAAAGCACTTTGAACGTTCTGTGTCTAGAACAGAGGCACATGAGGACTCTGTTTTCATTCAGCTGTGCTACAAAATATTTCTAAGTATGGAATGCTTTGTTTCTTATTGAGCCCATCTCTTATTACCCAAGCATAGGCTCCTCATTCCCTTATCCCACCGGTCCGTCTCCCTGCTCCCTTCCAGGTACCATCACCACATTTATATGAGACGCTGTCTCTGAAAATCTGTACAATTTCTGCCTTACCTAGAGTATATCTACAATTCAGGCTGGGGGTGCAATTTCCACCTTGTAAACATAGTTGCATTAGCTCTGGTCGAGCAAATATAAGTGACATGATACAGCTGGCAGGAGGGGCTAATATCTTATCTGTCTACGATATTAGGCACCAGAGTGGATGGATATAAAATTATAAACTTTTAGTCAGCAAGAAGGAAAGCTTCATTTAAATGATAGGTTTAATGGTGTTTTCCAGCTGTATTTTTTTAGTTATTTTCCTGAAGAAATTTGATTACCAGTGGTTGGTAACAATTAAAATATGTTGACTAGCAACTAAGTGTAGCCTGTACACTAAATTTGATGCTTCTTGCTACACATTTATTTAAGCAGTTATATAGCCTAACTTTACATTTATTCAGGTTTTTATTTTTATTAGAAAATAGTGGGTTTTTTACTTGTGATTTGTCAAGTAATATTAGATTGAAATTCAGATTAATTTAGAAACTCATGAACAACATTATTTTTTAAATAAAACTAGTTAAAATTTGCCGAATATGTACAAAAATTGTCTGAACATGCTTCACATTTAAAACTGATTATACAAAGAAAGTATTATAGGTAGTGAATGGAACTAATTATATCTGGCAAGTTTGGCCTTCAAGATATTGGAATTGGTAGATCTGATGATCTTCCACCTTGCTAGCTTTTATTAATAAATTGGAAAAGGAAAACAAGCTTTCCTGTTTTTTCAACTCCTAGTAGATTTCTCTGAATGGAATTGTCATTGAGTTGAGATATTTGCATGGAAATAAAGAAAATATTCTCACTGTACCTGCAAAAGAGTCTACTGCTGGGAGAAGATAGTTTAGCAGCTCAACGAATTCTAGGTCTGGGTGCTTAGCTAGTGATTCCCACCAGTTAAGTGACTTAATATTCTTTAAAACTCGACAGCAAATATGTACTGCTTATTTTTGGTATTTAATTAGAATTATTTTAATAGATCGGTAAATTTTGACCTTAGCATAGACTGTCAATTTTAGATTTAATTTTAAATTGGTTTATTTTAAAAATAAATCTGTTTTTTAATTTGATTAAATTCAATTTTTTTCAAACAGCTATCCACCATGTTAGGCCTGTACTAGCCCCTTCCACTCCTTGCCCCTTGCTGTGTCTGTTATTTTTAGCACACTAAAAATCAGTGCTAGATTATGTTTGTCTCTTCAAGTTGAGAATGATACCCCCAACTCAAGTGTAGACGTACCCTTAAGTTCCTTACTGAAACCTTCCTTTAGTAATTGGGTAGTAAGAAGGCAGCAGTGATTTTTGCTTTCCAGCTAAACTTTATTCTGTTGCTACCTCATTTCCTTCATCTAGCCCTACCCTATTCAGCTTCTTCAATCTGTCCTGTCTAATGTATAAATTGTAGTTTCTAGCGTAGGAACTTTCTTCTTTGTTACTTGCCCTTCTGTCACAGAAGGATTTGTTCTTGATTGGATTTCCTGGGGGCTTCCATAATATAAAGATATTTTTTTCCTAAGAGCAATCTAAGTTATGCAACTTCAGCTATGTGACTAGTGTAGCTGAAGTCAGTGTACTTAGATCTACTTAGTATGGTGTCTTCATGGTGGTGCGTCAACAGGAGGAGATGCTCTCCTATCGACTCTCCTTGCACTTTTCATTCTGGTGGAATACTGGAGTCGAAGGGAGAGCAATTGGTGGACGATTTATAGACACAGTAAATTGACCCTGCTGAATTGGTCGCTGCCTCATCAATCCAGTCTATAGGGAAGAGATGCTCAAAGATGGGGAAGATGGCAATTAACTTGTGTGTCGAAGCTTTGCTCTTGCCTCAGTGTGTTCAGTGCTTTCTGGCGGATTATGCTCATCTGAGAGGTTCACTGTGACTCTCAGTATAGCCCTTCTCTCTCCAGCGACCAGGGTTCACAGCCTATTGTGTCACTTCCATCACAGACGCAACCAGGAGGTGGGTGGGAGAGCTCCCACAGTCTCTGTTATCTGGTTTATCTGTTCAGCTTTTCGCAGTACATTTTTATAGGTGAAAACTAAACTGACGTAACCAGTTTTAAACTGATGAGAGTCCACACACAAATTGTACTGCTTTAACTAAACACATTTAAGTGACATTGGTTGTGTGTATAGGCAAGCTTTTAGATCTTCGGAGTCAAAGCTTAATGAGCTCCAAGTCTTGATTATTTATACTGGCTTTTCATGAAGGGGAGTTTATAGTTGATGGGGGCAGAATGGGAGAATTGTTACATCCTGTTGACATTGAGGGTGAAGATGTTCTTAAGAGATGCAATCAATGTGAAATCTGCCAAACAGTACTTTAATATGCAATACAAGTATGTGCTATAAGGTTCAAATCAGGTGTTTGGGTTTGTTTGGTTGGGTTTTTTTAAATGGTGAATTAATACATTCCAGTGAAATGGACAGGCTCTAACAAGCTCACTTTCTGGGTTCTTAATGTACATTATGCGTGTAATGGCTCCATTTTCTCTGTAGTGAATCTTTGCTTCATAATAGTAAATACAGAATCGGAAACATTTCACAATTCTGAATCGAGAATTAATTTTGTGTGTTTCTTCTCCAGCTCCTATTCCAACGTATATCTTGGGTGCCAATAACCAGGAAACTATATATTATTTTCCAGATGTGAATGGCTGTGAACTAGCTGAAAATATTACGTATTTAGGTATTGTTATGAATTTTATTTTTCTGATGTGCTTGTCTTTATGGGAGTATAAAAGTATTGCTGTTGTGGGACCTTAATTAAGATTGTGGCCTTTCATTCCAAACCCCTCCTTCATTTGTTGATACATTAAGCTCTTCAGAGCTGTTTGGGCCATCAAACTGAGTTTGATGGACAAATTTCAAATTCCAAATTGCAGGGAAACAAGTTAATGTCGAAAGAACATTACTCCTGGTGGAATTTTGTGCCAAAAGATTAAAATTTCTGCAAAAAAATTACTTTTTTTCCACACTCTTAAAGTTTTGCAAAATTCTTGTGACGGGTTCTGTCACAGAGGTCCCCTTGTGACTGTCACTTGATATGCTGAAATACCACAGAGCCTACTTTCCTGCCCTACGTGTACGCCTCAACACTGTCCCCCCTCTGGCTTCTTCCCACACTAGCACAGAGATAGGATCACAGCCTTTTGCAGTTTAATACAGACACTGAGATCAGCTCGGCTAAAGAGACTTGCCTTAGCACCCAAATGCACAGCCAAATGGGATCTGAAGCCCAGATAAATCCACTTCATTCTATACTAAAAAACTTACCCGGGTCCTTTGGGGCAGGGAACTGGCAGGGGGAGAGGGGTGGGCAGAGGAGAGAGAGGAGTGTAGGAGTCACTGCTCCTTGGGATGGGGGGGTGGCAGTAAAGGAAGCTGGGAGTGAGGGGGTGCAATAGTGAGGGTTGGAAGGTGAGGAAGGGCTCAGGGCATGGGGTCCCATCTGGCACAGTCCTTTTCTTTCCCCACAGCCCCCCTTCCTGGCCACCCAGGGGCCTTTTGTCTCCCTGTAGGCCCTCTGCGCCCCGGTTACCAGGGGTCTCTTTTCCTTCCTCAGTGCTGCGGCCAAGGGCCAGGATGTGGGGAAAGGGTTTGGGGGGTGCTAGTTACTTAATTTGCTGGCAGGCAAGATGGTGGATCCCAGCACTGCTGGCCATTCCCTTGGTGGTACAGCTGCTCCCAGGAGACACTCTGAAGGATAGCTCTCACCTGTGGGCTTGTTGCCCCCAGTGGCCACACCCAATATCACTTCCTTCCGAACAGTCCCTCCCTTTCCATGTTATGGAAAACAGTCCCTTTTTCAGCACTTCTGGTTGTTCTAGCAGAACCAAACTCTGACTTTGCTCTAAGTTAGGAGAAGAGGAAGTTGTGTACCAATAATAACGGGGGATTTTAATTACCCCCATGTTGACTGGATACATATCACCTCAGGAAGAGAAGCAGAGATAAAATTTCTCAATGGCTTAAATGACTGCTTCTTGGAGCAGCTGGTACAGGAACCCACAAGGGGAGAGGAAATTCTTGATTTAGTCCTGAGTGGAGCGCAGGTTCAGGTCCAGGAGATAACCGTTACAGGACCGCTTGGGAATAGTGACTATAATATAATAACATTTAACATTCCTGTGGTGGGAAGAATACCTCAGCAGTCCAGCACTCTGGCATTTAATTTCAAAAAGGGGAATTACACAAAAATGAGGAGGTTAGTTAAACGGAAATTAAAAGGCACAATGACTAGAGCCAAATCCCTGCAAGCTGCATGGAAACTTTTTAAAGACACCATAATAGATGCCCAAGTTAAGTGTATACCCCAAATTAAAAAACTTAGCAAGAGACCTAAAAAAGAGTCACCATGGCTTAACCACCATGTAAAAGAAGCAGTGAGGGACAAAAAGGCATCTTTTAAGAAGTGGAAGTCCAATCCTAGTGAGATAAATAGAAAGGAACATAAACACTGTCAAATCAAGTGTAAAAATGTAATAAGAAAAGCAAAAAAAGATTTTGAGGAACAGCTAGCCAAAAACTGAAAAAGAAATAACAAAATGTTTTTAAGTACATTAGAAGCAGGAAGCCTGCTAAAAAACCTGTGGGTCCTCTAGACGATTGAGATATAAAAGGAGCAATCAAGGATGATAAAAACCATTGCGGAGAAACTAAATGATTTTTTTGCTTCAGTCTTCACGGCTGAGGACATTAGGGAGATTTCCAAATCTGCATCATCCTTTGTGAGTGATGAATCTGAGGAACTGTTCCGGATTGAAGTGTCATTAGAGGAGGTTTTGGAACAAATAGATAAACTTAATGTTAACAAATCTCCGGGACTGGATGAACTAAATGGGTTCTAAAAGAACTCAAATGGGAAATTGCTGAGCTATTATCTGTGGTTTGCAACCTATCCTTTAAATCGGCTTCCATACCTAATGACTGGAAGGTAGCCAACGTGACACCAATATTTAAAAAGGGCTCTAGAGGCGATTCTGGAAATTAAAGACCAGTAAGTCTAACTTCAGTACCGGGCAAATTAGTCGAAACAATAGTAAAGAATAAATTTGTGAGGCATGTAGAAGAACATAATTTGTTGGACAAAAGTCAACATGGTTTCTGTAAAGGGAAATCATGTCTTACTAATCTATTAGAATTCTTTGCAGGGGTTAATAAACGTGCAGACAAGGGGTAGCCAGTAGATGATGGTTTCTGTAAAGGGAAATCCTGTCTTACTAATCTATTAGAGTTCTTTGAAGGGGTTAACAAACATGCGGACAAGGGGGATCCAGTAGATATAGTATACTTGGATTTTCAGAAAGCCTTTGACAAGGTCCCTCACCAAAGGCTCTTGTGTAAATTACATGGCCATGGGATAAGAGGGAAGGTCCTTTCTTGGATTGAGAACTGGTTAAAAGACAGGAAACAAAGGGTAGGAATAAATGGTAAATTTTCAGATTGGAGAGGGGTAACTAGTGGTGTACCCCAAGGGTCAGTCCTGGGACCAATCCTTTTCAACTTATTCATAAATGATCTGGAGAAAGGGGTAAGCAGTGAGGTAGTAAAGTTTGCAGATGATACCAAACTGTTTAGGATAGTCAAGACAGAAGCAGACTGTGAGGGACTCCAAAAATTTCTCACCAAGCTGAGTGATTGGGCAACAAAATGGCAAATGAAATTTAATGTGGATAAGTGTAAAGTAATGCACATCGGGAAAAATAACCCCAACTATACGTACAGTATGATGGGGGCTAATTTGGCTACGACAAATCAGGAAAGAGATCTTGGAGTTATCGTGGACAGTTCTCTGAAAACTTCCACACAGTGTGCAGTGGTGGTCAAAAAGGCAAATAGGATGCTAGGAATTATTAAGAAAGGGATAGAAAATAAGACCTAGAATATCTTACTGCCCCTGTATAAAACTATGGTACGCCCACATCTTGAATACTGTGTTCAGTTGTGGTCTCCTTACCTCAAAAAAGATATTTTGGCCTTGGAAAGGGTTCAGAAAAGGGCAACTAAAATGATTAGGGGTTTGGAACGGGTCCCATATGAGGAGAGGTTAAAGCGACTGGGACTTTTCAGTTTAGAAAATAGGAGACTGAGGGGGGATATGATAGAGGTATATAAAATTATGAGTGGTGTGGAGAGGGCGAATAAAGAAAATGTATTTATTAGTTCCCATAATAGAAGAACCAGAGGTCACCAAATAAAATTAATGGGTAGCAGGTTTAAAACTAAAAAAAGAAAGTTCTTCTTCACACAGCATGTAGTCAACCTGTGGAACTCCTTGCCAGAGGAGGATGTAATAGAGTTTAGGACTATAACAGAATTTAAAGAGAAGCTAGATAATTTCATGGAGGTTTGGTCCATAAAAGGCTATTAGCGAGGGAATAGAAATGGTGTCCCTGGCCTCTGTTTGTCAGAGGCTGGAGAAGGATGGCAGGAGACAAATCGCTTGATCATTGTCTTCGGTCCACCCTCTCTGGGGCACGTGGTGCTGGCCACTGGCTACTGGGCTAGATGGACCTTCGGTCTGACCCAGTACAGCTGTTCTTATGTTCTTAATCTTGGTGCTCCTAGCTCTTACCATTTAGGAGGAGTTCTTCAACAAACAGGCAAAAAAGAAAGACACACAAACTCTCAAATATATATTAGATACAATTAGTTTTGCTTGCTTATAAACCCACTTTAAGTAATTGTTGCCTTGTGGGGGCAAGGTGTCTTTGTGTATCTCTCTTTACAGTGAGAAAGAAGGTGAACATGAGTTACCTTGGAGAAGCTTCCACTCACTTCTCCACTGACACTACTATCACCTCCTTGTGTTACAAATTTAGTACAGTTGCACCAATGCCTCTCAATTAAGATCAGGGCCTGCTTTTGCTAGGTAGTGAAGAAACAACCTTATTACAGTAGGCTTATAGTTGTAAGAGCTAAAGTTTTGATTAGGTAAGCATTTATATTATGGGCTTAACTTTTCAGGGGGTGAGTAATCTCTTCGATTTCAATGGGATTTTTCACCTATTTAAAATTAATCATGTCCTTAAATATTAGCAGAATTATGAATTCATTGAGCAAATTAACCTTTTAGGTTGTTTGGTAGTGCCTGTCAAAGTATCAGATTTCTAAATCTTATCATTCAACTAATGTAGATTTCCATTTTAGTTGTGTTTAACTTTTCTCCTCACAGTTAAACTTCTCATATGATCACATCTGTCAGATAGAATTTGGCAAATAGTACATTTAAATGGAATGGAAATGCATGTTCTTCCTTCCTACCTCTAGCCTCCCAGATTAGCATATATCATTGAATGCTACTCCATGTCTATTATGTGAGCATATACTGAAAGGGTCTATAGTATTGAATATCTGCAGAGGGTAGAGTTATGATGTTCTGGAAACCTTATTTCTGAACTAGCCAATTAGCCCGTCATAAGACGGGATTTTCAGGTCTCTCCTCCACGTCGGTCTTCTCTCCTGAGCCTCTGGTCTCTCACTCCGTCTCTCTCTCTCTCCTCTTCCTACTGCCTCCCTCCCCCCCCCTCAGCTCTCCTTCACCTCCTGCCTCTCTTTTTCTCTTCTCCTTCTCCTGCCTCTCACTCGGGGGACTACGGAGCCCAAATGGCCATTTGGGCTACGCACTCCCTGTGCTGCATGGGAGGTGCGGAACCCAAATGGTCGCTTGCACGCTGCTGGCTCCCCTGCGGCGGCCTGGCTGAGCAGTGCAGAAGTCAGCCGAGTGCCACGGTGGGAGACGAAGGGGGGCAGGACGGTGACATTCACAGCCAGGGGACGGGGCCTGGAGCCGCTATCACGCTGCACGTCACCGCCCCGCTCCTCTTCACCTCCCACCGTGGTACTCTGCTGAATTCTGCGCCGCTCAGCTGGGCCGCCACAGGAGAGCAAGCGGTGCAAGCAGCTGTTTGGGCCCCGCACTCCCCATGCAGCACGGACCGCCCAGAGGGAACAGCCAGCATTTCAGGCAACAGCACATCCCCAGAAGGAACAGCCAGCATTTCGGCGTTACAGACTCTCAGACACTGGGCTACTATATATATGATTTTCTGATTTCCATAGTTAAATTCTCAACCCTAATATCTTAAGTTTTGCATTTTAGTTGAATATTTTTTGTCATCCATCTTAAGCTGGTCAACCTTTAGGTTGGACGTTTGACTTTTATGTCATTGGGGTATTTTTTTTGTTTTGTTTTTTTATAGGAAGGGAGCAAATTGGGTGACTTTTTTGTTTTTAAATGGGAAGGGTTTCCAGTCATTGAGCCAAATCCTGGAGTCTGGCTGCAGTTAATGCATTACAAGAGTCAGTTTCCTCATAAGAAAAGACTGAATAAATAAGCAAGGACTGCAAAATTTGTCCTGTTGTTAGCATGATACATTTTAGTGCCTTACAACACTTAATGTCATTTGTGTTTTACTACAGGTCGTAAAGGTATTTTCAACAGTGTCTCAGGATTGCAGATTGCCTACCTGAGTGGTACAGAATCCCAGAGTGAGCCTGCTCCTGCCTATAGTTTCATCAACAAGGATGTGGCAGAACTAAAAACATCTTTATTATCTCTTCCAAATTTCAGAGGTGTTGATATCTTGCTGACATCCCCTTGGCCCCGAGATGTAGGGAATTTTGGAAATAAACCTGTAAGTATTCAGTTTTCAGTTGAAATTGGTTAAGTATTCAGCTTACTAGTACACTAACTCTATTCGCTGTAGCTGTTTGTAGATTTTTTTTTAAACACATTAAAATGGTTTGTCACTGATTTCTGTTGTGAGGATGCTTATCTTGGCATTTCCCGTGTGAATCTGAGCTCTTGAATTGGATAAGTAGGGCCCCATGCGTGTTTTTGAGTTCAGATAATGAGCTGCCTATCAAAGGATCATCTTTCTTGTGGACTAATTGTTTTCCGCACTAGGATTGTTTGTGGTACAAATTTGAACCACTTTTAATTCCAGTTAATCCTCTGAATTTTTTACTAGGTGACTTGCTGATTCTGTAACTTCTTAAGTTTCATGTGTGTGAAGTGTGCCATATAATTCGATTTCACCCACAGGCCTCTTGCTGACTGTTGCAACAGAAGCTTTCCTCTTCCTGTGGCCAACAGATAAGTCAGACAGGTTACTTGTTCCTTCTGGTTTCACCTCACCTTTGTCTTCTGAATCCTGAGACTCCTTTGAATTTGAGTCAGGGATGGTCATCCTTCTGCTCTTCTTTGTGTGACCTGCATCAGGGGCTGCTAATTGACCGTTACAGATGCCAGGACTGGTGCATGTCCCATGGTCAGGGCAGAAGCCTTTGGCTGTGTGCTGTCTGGCCATCAATGCTTTACCCATATCAATGGGATGCCCTACGGTTGTGGAAGTCCCTACCTTCATCTAGCTTGAAGACAAAATTTCTGGCCAGGTCTATGATGGTGACCAGTGATCCTCCTGCAGGCCCAGGCATCAGTGGTCTTTTTCCCTGCAGAGTCTCCAGAGTCATCCTATTCAGGTCCAGCAACCTTGGAACAGCATTTGGTTTGGCTCAGTTAAGGGCCTTGTCTTCATCTCCAGATTTTACTGCACTGCAAGGCTCATCCTTCCTTTCAGTACCAGAGGATTTTAAGGTGTACCAAGATCTTTTGGAGCAGTGTTGCTGTTCTCCTCTTTCAAAGTTCCTTTATGACCCCGGGGGAAGTGGCAAAGCTAGGGCCAATGATGCTAAGTAGCTTGAGCCAGCCCTGGGTGGCAGGGTTCGGGGAGGGAGCCTGTCTGTGTTGCAGGGGGCGCAACTAAAAATTGCAGTATCACTGCAGCAGAGATCTCCCCCTGCTGCCATCAGAAGGGCTTGATTCACAGCCGACCATGCGCTGTGTGAAGAAAAACTTCTCTTTGTTTGTGCTGTGCCTCGTTTGTTTGTGTCATGCAGATTAGGGATGTAAGCAAGTAGTTGACTATCCAGTAAACCTAGGCTTATCAGGTAGTTGAGTCAACTACTTGCATTTTGACACACCCTATCCTTGCTGCTTCTGTATCAGAGGCAAGTGTTAGGGGGAGCTGGCTTAAAAGCAGGTTCCCCTCCAATATCATCTCTGTGGTGCTGCTTGCCCCCGCCTCCCAAGCTCCTGCATGCAGAAGCTACTCTGGCCACAGCCCCTGACTGCAGAGGGGCCCAACTCCCCATTGGGACCTTCCCCCAAGGACAGGGCTGCTGCCAGCTGGGCAAGCAGCATACTCCTCTTCCCCTGGCTCCTACTGTGTTTTAAATTGCAGAGCTGCAGTGGGATTTGGTCCCAGCATGAGTCTGGACTGAGCCAGCTGCCTATCGACTAATTGAGTAGTCAACAGAATTTTTATCGATTGACTGCTCAGTTAGTAAATTAACTACTTCTTTGAGTGGTGTCCCCCTGGGTGCTCCACTGTAGATGTCAGGTCATCCCAGCACCACAGATCTGAGTTTCCTTGAGCAGTGGTCATCGGACCACACATGCGCGGCCCACGTCTCACAATGTTTATGCTCTTTGGACACCAGTTCCTTCTTCACCGCCCATGGTCGCAGAGCGTGCCATCTCTCCTCAGACAAATCATGTCAGGAGTAGAATTGATATTTGGTTAGTCTTTGTAGTTACAGTTACAGTTCTTATAGTTCTAGTTATTATAGTTCATTTTTATTAGTTTTAAAAAAAAACTCTCCCTGTTTTAAGAAGTGTGCCACAAGCCGTGACGCCATGCCAGCTTTGGACGCCATGCCAAGTGTATCAAGTGCCTCAGTGAGGCTCATGTACCTCAAAAATGTGTCCACTGTGCCAAGTTGACGGTCAGGGCACGTAAGGACAGGGAGATGAGATTAACAATATTTTTATTCGACAATGCGTTTCAGCCACTGGAGCATTCTCCTACAGTTTCCACTCTGTGGTCTCCTAGGGTGGAGAAAAGAAAGGCCATTTTGCCATAGTCAGCACCAGCTCAGTCTTTATCGACAACATTGGCACCTTAATCATAGAACCATAGAGCCGGAAGAGACATCAGAAGGTCATCAAGTCCAGCCCCCTGCCCTAGGCAGGACCAATCCCAACTAAATCAACCCAGCCAGGGCTTTGTCAAGCTGAGACTAAAAAATCTCTAGGGATGGAGACTCCACTACTTCCCTAAGTAACCCATTCCAGTGCTTCACCACTCTCCTAGTGAAATAGTTTTTCCTAATATCCAACCTGGACCTCTCCCACCTCAACTTGAGACCATTGTTCCTTATTCTGCCATCCGTCACTACTGAGAACAGCCTTTCTCTAGCCTCTTTGGAACCTCCCTTCAGGAAGTTGAAGGCTGCTATCAAATCCTTCTGCTTCAGAAATGTCAGCAAACGTACCGATGACCTCAACACCGTCGACCTTGGCACCGTCCACACACATGCCAACCAGCGCAGCACATACAGTGGACTTGGATCTTCGGCACCATATGCCTTGTCCAGCTCTTTGATGCCAAAGAAAGCACTCCACAAATCCACCTTAGTGAGATCAACGAGTCCAGAACTACTTACGTTCTCACCGGCACCATCTTCTGCACTACTTTCTCCATATTCTCCTTGATTAACAATGGATGACATGGGTCGCATCCCATGTTAATAAGCTAGGCACCATGAGCCTAGGTACTGTTTATCACTGTCCCCTTATACAAGATACCTACCTCACTCTCCTCCTCCTTCTTCAAGAGCATTACCATGCTCACCTGGTTCCCACACCTACCAACGCATCATCAGATGTACTGCAGGAGTAGCATTTCATCTTGGCACGTTTCACCGGTGTGAATTTACCACAGACGACACAGTCCAACATACTACAAGTATTATTCTTGGCATGATTCAACTAATCATCGCTATCATCACTCTAAATATGGCTATCCTTGCTGTCACAGTCACCCTACTTCTCATGCTCCCTGTTTCCCTGCAGCCTTTACGTACTCAGGCAGTAGCAGTGTCTCCACCTAACACTCCCTCTACAGCTCATCAGTCAGAACCGGAGGAAGGTCAACTCTCCGAGGTAGAAGAACACCCACCAGATGTATCACTGACTGATCAGTCGTCATCATCCCCTGATGAGGTGGTCATACCTGATGACCAGTCTCCTCCTGACAACATGAGGCAGTTTCAGGAGCTTTTCAGAAGGGTGGCTGCATCTCAGGACATTCCATTAACTGAGGTACCTGAGAAACAGCACAGGCTCCTCAAAAATCTCCAGCCTTCACAACGGGGAGATGGCAGATATGGCAGACTTCAGCTTCAGCACCTCCAACTAACAGAAGAGCTGACAAAACATATTTTGTTCCTCCAAAGGGAGCTGATTTGTTATTTTCCCACCCTCAACCAAATTCTTTAGTTGTTGACACTGCTCAACACAGAACCAAATTGCCACAATACAAAAAAATAAACATGAAAAACAGAACTTTATTCTTTGGCCACCTTACTCTTGAGTATAGCAAACTCTTGAGTATAGTGCTGCTTTCTAATCACAACTTTGATAACTTCATGAAGTTGACTTCTCTCTTAGAACCCCTGCCAGTCTCCAAAAGATACCTATTAAAATCCATGTTCAGGAGGGCTATGCCTCCTCCAGAACAGCGCTCCAAATAGCACTTGACATTGCTGACACAGCAGCCAGAGCTATTGTGACATCAGTAGTTATAAGGAGAACCTCCTGGTTACAATCTGCGGGGGTCTCTTGTGAGCTACAGTCGAAAGTGGAAGATCCTCCTTTCGACAAGCAAAAATTATTTGCTGAAAAGACGGATGACGTGCTGCATTCCAGCAAAGACTCTAGAACAACATTGCACACACTTGGGATGTATACTTCCCCATTCCGTCATAAATAATACACTCCATATCAAAAGCAGCAGGAGTTCTCCTATTCCAGGTACCAACAATGCACTTTTGATTAATCAAGGAGCAAGCAACGCCCACAGAGGAGACGTCTACAGGACGCTTGTAATACCAGCAACCAGGCGAACAAGCAGCAGGTGTCACCTGTTGGTCGAGGGTCTGCAAAATCTCCCCATCTCACACGAACATCATATCGTTCCCTGGCCTTCCACCACCGTCGGAGGCCTTTTCATCATCACTGGGCTGCCATCATATCAGACTGTTGGATCCTTGAAATAATATCATGGTACATCATCCCCTTTACCTCGCTTCCTACCACCTCCCCACCCTTCTTCAGGGACCCCTTTCATGAAGACCTATTAGAACAGGAGGCACACTGACTACTCAGCCTAGGAGCAGTGGAGATAGTACCAGAGGACTTCAGAGGCGAGGGGTTCTACTCCCATTACTTTCTCACACCAAAAAAGATGGAAGGATGGCGGCCTATTTTGGATCTCTGCAAGTTGAATCCTTGTCTTGGAAAGCAATGATTCAAAATGGTTACCCTAGCTTCAATAATCTCAGCATTAGAGAAGGAAGACTGGTTTGCAGCCCTCGACCTGCAGGATGCCTATTTTCACATAACTATTCACCCCCGCGTACGGACGATTCCTACATTTCGTGGTGGGCACAGATCACTTTCAATACCAAGTACTACCATTCGTCCTTTCATTGGCACCCAGAGTGTTTTCAAAGATGTTGGCCTTTATTGTGGCCTACCTTCACAGACAACCCTTGATTATTTTTCCGTATC